ATACTGATAAACTTTTGACACGAATTATTAGTCTTATGTCTTCACTTTGGAAAACGGGAGTGGAGGAAACGGAGAGGGCTTTCTAAAGAAATTTCTAGCTTGAGTTCACTGTAAAAATTACAAATTTCAAACTTACGATTTTAAGTTTGCTCGCCATTCCTCGAAGTCCAGCTTGTTGTCTTGGTTGACGTCGGCCGACTTCAGCGCCTTCTGGATGTCGAGAATCTTCTCGCGTTTGAAAGAGAGCTTGTCCAACATCTTCTGGTATCCCTACGAGGCAAAGTACACCATTATACCGCTGTCTTCTCGCACGCGGATATATCAAAACATGGCTCGTCAGAAGAAGAAGCAAAAGCCCACAGAAATTCTAGATAGGCAAGTGGTTCACGATTCTAGACTTGCATAATTTCAGACGAAAACAGGCCACCGGTCTGTTAAATAGTTTTTAATAGGGAACGACCTGGTGTGTGCGTTGGGCGGAGCCAAATTCACGACCAATAACAGAGCTGGGACATTTAACCATTTATTTAAAAAAAGCCAATAAAATGGCAATTTCAACGGTTGCTAGGCAACACTTCACAGTTCAATACGCTGCTGAGAGGATATATGCATAAAAAATAATAATAATAATATCCTAGCCTACAGAAAGTTATATTCCAAAACACCTGGTTTATTTCCTGGGCCACTTGCCGAGTATAGTGATTGTAAAATTACTTCTGCTTCAGACATAACGGCGCAATTTATATATGAGATCAACTTAAATGTGACACAGAAAACAAAAAACTCATTTAAAATTTCCGAGAATTTTTCCTCCAGTTGCAATTAAAAAACTAAATTACTTTATTGATAAGCCGGTACAGAAATTATTGCGCGCCGGAGAAATACCTTACGGCGCCAAAAACAAAGACGGGGAAAACACAATGAGTGTGTAGGATAAATTTCCTTTTAAAATGTAGAATTCGACAGAAATTAGACACGTTTATTTATTATTAACAACAAGCTGTCTGCAAGACCATCGCCAACGGCAAACTTCAAAAACAGGGTAAATTATAATTTAACAAGAAAACTTCTATTTTGTGAATTATTGCATCTATCCGCTCTGTTCGCATAAACGCCAAAAATTTGTTCCTCAAAGTTTCATCGGGAAGCCAACTTAACGCAAATAGAAATGAAACCAACAAAAGGTTTTTCTGATTCGTAAACTATCCCGAGACATTCGAAAGGTTTCCCGGCAGTTTTAGTTATAAAAGAAGAAAATTTCAAATTTCAAATTAAAACGAACTGTAAACAAGGCGTACAGTTTCACCTTTAAATTACTTTTGGCAAATCTTTCAAAAGAAAAACAACCTTTGCCATGAAGCCGACAACTAAAGGGAGTAGAAATAACGAAAATCAAACTATAATCGAGAGCGAGAGGGGACAAGAGTTCAAACTCTCGCTTCGTTTGACCGAATGACCGCCAACCCTTATGCGCTCTCATCGAATTTGAACCTGCTCAAATTTTCAAGAGAGTAGATGAGTGTTTTTGCTCGTTTGGATGTCAGGTAAATGATGTCAACTCAAAAGTTGACTCGAAGACTTCCGACGATTTTCCGAAGATGACACGAACCCTTCCGAAGATGAGCCGAAGATTGCCGAAAATCACCCGAGGTCCTCCGAAGATTTTCGAAAGTGATCGGAAGGTCAGCAAAGTTAAAAGCTAATGATAGAGTTCGGAGAATTTGGAGGTACATCAAGACAATACCCCTGGTTGATGATTTTCTATATTCTCCTCACCTGTCTGCTAGCTTATGTATCGATACTGTGTGGAGAAAATCGATGTTGAGTCAGACTGATCTCTCTTGATTGTACGTCACGATAGCGCATCTTGAAAAAAATTGGCAAGTTCGTAATCCGTCTTAATCTTCCTCAGTCTTAACCATCCTTGTTCCTGTTTGGTTTATTATCACTTCTTTGGTGTTTTTCTACCTTAGTAAACTATTATTGCGAGGTTTCCTTCAATTAGAAAGTAATTTTGTTCATCAGAAAAATGACTTAAAGGGGCTACGTCACGGTTGGCGCATCTTGAAAAAATTGGCAATTTTTTTCAAGTTCGCCGTTCGCAATCCGTCTTAATCTTGTCCATCCTTAACCATCCTTGTTCCAGTTTGGTTTATTATCACCTCTTTGATGTTTTTCTACCTTAGTAAACAACTATTTCGAGGCCTTCTTCAATTTGAAGGTGATTTTGCACTTCGCAAAATGACTTGAAATATCGTGACATAGCTCCCTTAAAATTCCTTTAATACCTTCTTGAAGTAGTCGCCGATCTCAAACTCGCTCTTCTGGGAGGCGATGTTGGACTTGACTTCAGCGTACGTGTCGTTAATGATGGCCAGGAACATGTTGAGCAGCACAAAGAACACGAAGAACACGTAGGTTATAAAGAAGATAGGACCAAGGACGCGGTTGGCGGCCTCGAGGGCGTGGAAGTCGAAATCACCCAGGATAATACGGAACAGTGTGAAGCTGAAAGCAAAAAAAAAAAAAAAAAAATTTAATTCCAGGCTCACATCCTCGGAGACCCAGGGGCAGTTAGTGGGGCGAGGGAAAAAATATCGGCAAAGAAAAGTAGGAGAGAACGTGAAGCAGATTTTTTTTTTTAACTCGCCCCCACTGACTGACCCTGGGTCTCCGAGGATGAGCTCACAAGAAAACGCCAACATATCAAAACTAAGGCGCTTGTGCGCGCAATATCCGCTGCTTGTGGGAGTGCGGTAGCCCGGCGCATTGTACTGTATTGTATTGTACCCGCAGATTTTTGTGTCCGTAAATGGTCAAACAGTGCTTTATTTAATAGTGGAACTTATTCTGCTTGCCACACAGAAGCAGTTCACGCGTGCATCCGCGCGTGAATTATCGTGCCTGTTACAATCCACGCGCGTATTCGCGAGAGCATGAGAGGATTTTGGTAAACCCTTCATGATACTTACATAGCGTCCTCGAATGTGCTGAAGTCCCGCACTTGAGTACCAAAGACAAGGTAACCCAGCTGTGCATACGCGAGAAAGATGATGAAGAACATGACTGCGAAACCACCGACGTCTTTGGCGCACTAGAAACGAAGGAGAGAGAGGAGAGAGGAGAGGGAAAAATGTTACTGCCCAGTTCACACATCACGCAAATCTACGACAAGTTTCACTGCAGTCAATAAACAATAAATAATGTACTAAATAAGAAAGTGTAACTATACATTGCTGAGGGTGGCCGACAGCTGGGTCATGGTCTTGTTGAAGCTGATATACTTGAACACCTATCAAGAAAGAATAACAGTCACATTAAACAGAGTTACACATAATATGACAATGATATATAGCAACTGATTACTCAATAAATTTTCTGCACACTGCTATTAGGTAGTCTGTTGTAATCGACACTTAAGGCAGGGGTCCACCTGAATGCCATTTTCCCGCCACTTAACATGGGTTTAATGGAAATATCTCGTTCGCGTTTCAAGCAATCCAAAAACTCTTAGCTCATCTCATGAATCTATGTTATGGGGTGTTTTGTAAATTTTTGGGTGATTTTTGGGTATTTTGGGGAGGAAATAGTTTTTCTCAAAGGAGTTGTAAAATTTAGGGAAATAAGAAATATTGAAGATTTAATGTAGTTTTAAAATTAGAATTTGAAGTTAAAATTAGTAGATTGACATTGACGACAGTTGATAACCACGCAAGAGCACCCGCGTGGTGTCCAAATTTTTTTTTCCTTCTATCCCTTCTTTAAACCTCTTAAAATTTCATTGAAATTCACGTGTACCCCCGCCTTAACGTGAGAAAACACGTAGCCAGCGACAAGGGCGGGAAAACACATAACCGGTACACCGGCGACAAGGGCGGGAAAACACGTAACCAGAGCCAAGCGCGGGAAACACGTAACCAGCGGAAAGCGCGGGAAAGCACGTAACCAGAGCCAAGCGCGGGAAAAACACGTAACCAGAGGAAAGCGCGGGAAAACACGTAACCAGAGCCAAGCGCGGGAAAACACGTAAACAGAGGAAAGCGCGGGAAAACACGTAACCAGACGCAAGCGCGGGAAAACACGTAAGACGCAAGCGTGGAAAAAGTCTGAAAAAGGAAAATTAGGAACTGAACCTAAGCAAACTAATAGTGACTTTCTAAAGTCATCAAAAACCAGGATTAATTAGTGACAGAAAAAGTGTTTCACCTTGATCCAGGCGAAAAACACGGCCACGGCCACCATGTTGTTGAACTGCGTCTGCCAGAAGCCCAGAGAATCGAAGTTTGCATACTGCTTGTTGTCTTCCAAGAGCCCCTTGAGCAAGTCTCCCACGGCCAGTGTACGGTAGACATTGAATATAACTGCCACATAGCCCAGGAAGATGACAATGATGTCGAGTACATTCCAGAAACTCTTGAAGTACTTCAGCTTGTGTTTCTTGATCTCCAGGATCTCTTCGATGGTGTAGTAGATGATGAAGAGGATGAAGATGCCCTCGCAGGCCATCACAAAGTGGTCGAACGAGGTGACATAACGTATCAGTTTCACCGTGCGAAATTGGAATGACGGGATACAACCACCTGTGGCTGGATACTCAAAAACGAGCCTGGAGAGAGATAGAGAGAAAATGACATTGCGCTCAGATATTCAATTCATTTTTAAAGCCTGGATATCCGCGATGCAGGTGTTAAAAACACGTTTTTTAAAAAGAAACTACAGTCGAACCCCGATTAAGCGGCCAACCCCGATTAAGCGGTCAGCTATCAAAGTCCCAATATCAGTATAATACTGTAAATAAAACCCCGATTAAGCGGCCAACCCCTATTAAGCAGGCCACTTGCCATTCCCCGAGGGTGGCCGCTTAATAGGGTTTCGACTGTACTGTAAACGTCTGAAACTCTGGCAAATGAACAACAAAAGTCTCTGAACATAGTTCAACATACCAACATGAAACACATGTGAGAAGATGTTTATCAGTCAGTGACACAAGCCACTCAGAGTTCTCCCAACAGGACTCGAACCTATGACCTTCCGCACACCGGACGGCGGATATTCTATCACTGAACTAATGGAGACTCTTGGGAGCTTAGGCCATATAAAACACATGAAACACATGTGCAAAGATCTGACTTACTTTATGATGCAGAACAAGTTGATGTTGGCATTGTAGACTGTGAAGTCGATGAGCACAATTCTTGATCCACGGTCCAGCCACAGGTTTTTGCTGAGAGAGAGATTCTGATATTAGTTGTGTCACTCAAATAGTCTTTAAAAATCTAATGAAACCTTTGAGCACTGAACTTCACAAATAACTTTTAAAAAGCTATGTAACCAAACTGTCTGAGAGGTGTCTGCCTAAGAGAGATGAACACCTTAGGTGTCTGCTCCAGAGTTCAAAACCTTAACCCAGCATTTTGTCGCCAGTACCCATTTATACTCCTGGTGGAGAGGCACTGTGAGAGTAAAGTGTCTTGACCAAGAACACAACACACTGACCCCAGCCAGGGCTTGAACCCGGACCACTTGGTCCAGAGTCCATTGCACTAAGGTTATTCCATCGAAATAGAAGTTACACTGGGAAGTTTCTGAAACTTTCCCTAGTTGAACATTGTGATGTAATGTTTCAAAATATAGAATAAAAAGAATAGGTCACCAGCCCCGCGAAAGAGATATAATCGACTAAAAATACCTCATAATTCCTTACATGATCAACCAAAAACACGTATTTTTTCACGTTCTCAGTGATAATTAATGTTTCTGCACTGAGAATTGGTCTATATTCCTTGTATAGAAAGAAGATGATTACTAGACTTAATATGCGAAAAAAATGATAGGTCACCACGCTCGTTTACGAGAAAACGATCATTTACCTATCTGGCGAGCATAGCCACAATGAAAAAGCCGCCATGTTTTTAATGTGCGCGCGCTAATTACGCACGAAATTATGCGCAGAAAGGATGCGCAGTGCAATACTAAGGAATGACCTTAAACCATTAGGCCGCCGCGTCTCACAATAAATAAAAGTGTAGACCGTGAAAATTGTTATTGATATGTTAAATAGACCAACCAGCGAGTGTATTTCTTGCACATCTGTCTCTGTCCCAGTATTACAATACTTACCTTCAATTCATCAATCAACGCCTTAGTTTCCTCCTTTTTGGGTTTAAGAAGCAGTGTAAACCCGCCGCCAGTGTATGATGTAATTCTTCCCCAGTGCGACTTGCCTTTGAGCTCCTTTTCAGACTTGTAAGTCCATCTGTGTCAGAAAACAGTTAGCTTCAACTAAGTTAGTTTGTAAAATAAATTATTGCTCAAAAAGCCACGTACAAGCAAACGTAATGCTGGTTTCTGTAGCATAATGTGACTAGGAATATTGCTACTTCTCCTCGATTGTATACTTGTCTATTGCAGATACCCACAGCATAATGTCGCTGGTTCTTGCATGCTGCAGACATCCCTGCAACATGTTGCTCCAATGTACAGAAATTGGAGTCCAGCACGATGATCGACACTATACCAGATCTTTACGGATGGACCATTTTATTATTATTTTTTTTTTTTTATATATTTTTTTTTTGGGGGGGGGGGGGGGCAATTTTTTTGAGCTCAAATTTTTTTTTCCGTCTTGCAAGAATTTTTATTCACCTCTTGCTTGTGAGTGAGAGTAAGTGAACTCGCTTTGCACGATTTTTTTCTCTCTAATTTTGCTGTGCAGGAATTTTTTGGGGGTAATTACCCAACACCCCCCCCCCCCCCCCCCCCCCCCCCGAAATAAAATGGTCCATCCCTTACTGGGGCATTTGTCGTCAGGTGGCCCTGACAATTCACCAGTACCATTTATACTCGTGGCTGGACTCGAGAGAGAGGCACTGTGAGGGTAGTATCTTTCTCTAACCTTAATGACCTACATGTATTAAAGGGACACTGTCCTGGAGTATTTGCTCAAAACTGTTATGAAATGAAAATATGAAATAACTAAATGATAAAAGCAATTTCTTCAAGAAATTCCATACTGCAAACAAATTTTTGCAAAATTTCAAAGATTTCCGAGCAAAATTTGAAACTTTGAAAAACTGACATCCTGACGTTTTTTTCAAAATCCATATTGCAATCCATTTCCATCCTCGCTGTCGTTCGTCATCCTCACTTCCTAATGGTTCCTGTCATTTGTCGAGTGTTATTCTACAGAATCAAATCATTATTGATCAACTTCCTATGATCTGTAGATATGTTTCTGTCTGCCTGAGCTTCCAAAATCATGCTAAAATGAGGACAGTGTCCTTTAACTACATGAGACAGTACGCAGCATTATGTAAACCAGATTTTAAGGATTAACACTCACGCTGATCCATTTTTTAAGCCAATGGATCTTTGTCTTCAGCAGTTGGAGAGTAGGGTGCATAGCACTCTTTGATAACAGTCTTGAAGTCATCATGAACACTGAAAAGAATAAATAATTATAACACAATTAACGTTGACATTCCTATATAATACCTGCCAACTTTTCCTGAGTGAAATACATGTACATATTGACATTTTCATCTTCAAACTACATGTACCTGGATTTCTGAAGATGTTCCAACAATTTCCAAATAAATGCTGGGACCTCAATTAAATGCTGGAGTGATTCTTTAAAACTTGACTGGATAGACCCGGCGTTTATTTGAACCCGGCATTTATTTGGAGCAGGGCGTTTAATCGTGAAAATAAGGTATCTGCCAACCCTGCCACATGTGCAAGTGTCATGCTTGTGTGCGTCAATCTTCAGTCTTACACACATAACAGCGAATAAATCTGGTTTCTCTATAAAATTCCAGAGGCATTTCAAGTGATTCAAAATGTGGAAGTGTAGACTGGGGGGTGGGGTGGGGGTGGGTGGGGGACCCAAGAGTAAAGGGGGAAGGAAGTCTATAGGAGGTGGGAAAAGAGAGACCGGGGGGAGGGGGGGAGGGAGCTCCGCATACGAAAGTGACGGAGATGTTCGTTGTCCCTTTTAAGGGTGTCCTCCTTGGGGTGTTCAGGACAGAACGCCAATATTTTTAGCCATCAAGGTATCTTTTAGGGTTGCACGCGAATAAATAATAATAAAAAACACTGTCATACTGTGTGTAATGGTATCTTTTAGGGGTAAAAACGGCTGAGCCACACCAGATTGGTCCCTTTTTATGGGTGTAATTTGAATTTCCGACGAGCATCCCCGTCACTTTCATATGCGAGTTCCCCCCGTGGGAGGTGGGATTCCAAAGTTAAGGGAACCTGGAGAAATAGGCAACATTGCAAGGTACGGGAAGTGGGAAGTTTCAACCCCCCCCCCCCCCCCCCCACACACACACACACACACACACACACACCCACAAAAGCGATGGACAACAATATCGACATTCACTTACTCGCAGGAATCATTCTTGACTCGCAGTTGTCTGATGCGTGGTCGTCCAAGGATTTTGTTTTCAAAATAGATGAAGCCGAGATCTTCGTCGGATACGTTCTTGTCATTGTAGTATTGTTCCCAATACAAGCCGTCAGCCAACGGCCCATTTGTGTACTATAAAAATCAGCAAAGTAAAGAGATCAGCTCATTAGGAAAAAATAATAATTTGTTACTTGTCAAGTTCCCTGGTTTTGACCAAGACCCTCAAAACATTGCAAAATTTTCACCGTAAAATGTACATGTAGAAATTTATTATTAATAAATTAAAAAACATGTTTGTTTTACCGTAATGTGCTTTAATTTGTATTGTTGAGTAGTACAATATCCTTGATGAATGTTTATAGACCACTGATTTTACTAGTATGTTTACCTTAATCTTATTGTGTGGTTCCAGAAAATATCCATACCCCTCCCCCCACACAAAAGTGTTTTTTTTGGTTTGAACACCCACCCCCAGAAAAATTCCAGTTTAACTTCATACTCATAGTTTCCTTTAACCATTTTGGCTTTTAAGACCCCCCTCGCCCTCGGAATTTCCAATGACCTTCTTTGGGATGGGTATGGATATATTCTGGAACCACTTATTCATAATTTTGGGGGATTTTTGGTTCTGCAAAGAATTATACCATTAAAAATTGTTCAAATTGAACTTACCATCCAGAACTCCTTCATTGTGGTAATATCCTTGAAAGTGTTTCGGTTTTCCATTGTTGTCTCCACAAACAAATCTTTACAAAGTAAAAACATGCATGATAAAATTCAACAAACTGGAACAAACAAGTTGAAAGCTACATTACGAAATCAAAGTACAGGTACCTTACATGTACAGTAAAGCCGTTCGGGGTCAAACTGGCCCACACTGCTGGAGCTTATCCCAGTTTCCATAGCATGAAGCTGACTAGGAGTATTGCTACTCCCCCTGGGTGGGATGCTAGTCCAATGCCAGATTACCCCCTCTCTCCCCCCCCCCCCCCCCAACCTCCCCCTCAGCATTTTGTTTGGTTGCCCTGGCTAACAGTTTGCCAGTGCCCATTTGTACTCCTGGGTGGAGAGAGGCAATGTGAGAGTAAAGTGTCTTGCCCAAGAACACAACACAATGAACCAGGCCAGGGCTCGAACCTGGACCGCTCGATCCGGCATCCAACGAGCTACCATTAGTCCACCACACTACACAGGGATCCATATTCGTTTTTTCTCAAAGTCGTCAGCCGGGCAAGTATTCCAAAAAACATACTTGCCCTGGCAAAATTTTGGTTGCCCTTTCAAAAGTAGAGAATTATTGGTAAAAAAAAGGCGACAGAATGGCTACATGTTAAAAACGTTTGCGTTTTTTTATTAACATCGTATAATGCATCGCGCTACAATGTACATGTAGACGTTTGGCGGCCACGATCGTTATTAAGTGATTTGAAAGACGCTTTGTGGATCTTTATAGAAGACTCCAGGCGAAGCGATGTCACAGTGCAGCCGGCATCTACAAAAACATTTTTTTTTCTGGGCCAGTGATCTGTCTAACTGGGACGCTGACTGGTAAATTTTGCAAAACATATTGCCTCCAGCCGAAGCAGTTTGCGATGTGGCAGACGATGATAGCAATGCAGGCACAAATTTCAGCCAGGGCCTGTTTTTCTGCCACAAAGGTGG